TTTAAAAAAAAAAAAAAAAAAAAGAAATATTTTCAAATAAAAAAAAAAAAAAAAAAAAGGGAGCTATTCAAAAATTAAAAAAATAATAAAAAGTTATAATCAAAAACATTAAAGTAATTCAGTTTTAATTATTAAGTGACTATAATCCTATTTAATATTAATATTCTTATTATATATTCATAAGAAATCACAGTATTTTTAAGAATTTGTTTAACTTGTACGTGATATTTTGAAACATAAATATGAAGTAACACACAAGAATACCTAATTGGTATTAATGTTTTTAATGAAAACTATAGTTTAAAATAAAAATAAATAAAATAAAATAAAATAAGCAGTACATAAATTTAAATATAATAAATTATAAAGGTTCTTACAATTACAATTATGTAAATATAATTTACATCTTCAAAAAAAACTTTCATAAAAAAAGAAATAAAATAAAAAACTTGTATTTACTATACCCAATATATTTAATAAAAAATTTTCCTTCTATATTTTTTTTTTTATTTTATACATATATAAATTTTAAATTTATTATAACAACCAATTAAAATTTTTTTTTTTTTTTTTTTTTTTGTAATATTTTTTTAAAAAATTGCAGTAATTTTAATTTATTAATATATCAAAAAATAAATCAAAAATATAAAATTATTAAAAGTTATTTTATATAAAAATATGATGACTCCATGTAAATTTATTATTTTCAGTAAAATTATTTCATATAAAAAAATGTATTTGTTTAAAATTTTTTTCTCGATAAGAAATTATTTTTTAAATTAAATTAGGTGAGAAATTTTAGATTAAATTAACAAAAAAAATTGAAATACTTTTATTAGAAATGCACAAATCCTTTTTTAAATGATATATATGTGTACTTTTTAGAAATAAATATTTTAACATATTTTTTTTCTATTTCTTTCTCTTTTTTCATAGAAATCGTACATTTTTAAGTTTGTTTCATTGTTTTTTTATTTAATACATATTTAAATAATTTAAACTTAATTTTATTTAAAAGAATTATTTTAATATCATTACAAAAAAATGCATATATATGAGATACGTATGTTCTATTACCAAAAATTATTATTCAAAAAAAAAAAAATTAAAATTATTTATAAATAGTAAAGACAATTTAAATTAATAAAATTTTATTGAATTTATTTTGTGTTCATTTTTCGAAAATTTTAAATTTATTTAAACTTTATTAGAATAACATTTATATATGTTATAATTTTTTTATTCTATTAAAACGTAATTTTTTTTTTTTATTCTTTTATTTTTTTTTTTTTTTTTTTTTTTTTTTTTTTTTTTTTTTTTTTTTTTTTTTTTTTTTTTTTTTTTTTTTTCTTTTTTTTTCTCTTTTTTTTTCTTTTTTCTTTTTTCTTTCATTTATAATATTATTTATCATTATTTTTTTATATGTTTTCTTGGTATATTTCGTATTTGTATAGTTATATATAATTTTTTTTTATATGGTTGTTTTCTTTATGTTGCCTTTTGGCTAAAAAATAAAAAAAAATTATATGAAAAAATATAACTGAATAGCTAAAAATTATCATAAAAATTGAATTTATTTTTATTATATTTATGATTTATTTATATATATTCTTATATCTTTATAAATAAATAAAAATTTTACTAATAAAAAAGAAATTATAATTAAAAGATAAATATACTTTTACAGAACTTGTAAGAAAAGGATATATATATATATATATATATATATATATATATATATATATGTAAAGCTATAATAATAAAAAAAAATAATTGTTAACGAAATTTATAAAAAGAAAAAATGTCTAATAGAAAAAAAGTAGCATATTTTCATGATCCTGATATAGGGAGTTATTATTATGGAGCAGGTCATCCTATGAAGCCTCAAAGAATTAGAATGACCCATTCTTTAATTGTGTCATATAATTTATATAAATATATGGAAGTTTATAGACCTCATAAAAGTGATGTTCATGAAATGACTTTGTTTCATGATTACGAATATGTGGATTTTTTATCTTCTATAACTTTAGAAAATTATAGAGAATTTACTTACCAATTAAAAAGATTTAATGTTGGAGAAGCCACTGATTGCCCAGTATTTGATGGACTCTTTCAATTTCAACAGTCGTGTGCAGGTGCATCAATTGATGGAGCTTCTAAGTTAAATCACCATTGTGCTGATATTTGTATTAACTGGTCAGGTGGTTTACATCATGCAAAGATGTCGGAAGCAAGTGGTTTTTGTTATATTAATGATATTGTTTTAGGAATATTGGAATTACTAAAATATCATGCACGTGTTATGTATATTGATATTGATGTTCATCATGGAGATGGTGTTGAAGAAGCTTTTTATGTAACCCACAGAGTTATGACTGTGTCATTTCATAAATTCGGGGATTATTTTCCAGGTACAGGTGATATAACAGATATTGGTGTTCACCATGGAAAATATTATAGTGTTAATGTACCATTAAACGATGGAATAACGGATGAGGCATTTGTTGACTTATTCAAAGTAGTTATAGATAAATGTGTACAAACTTATAAACCAGGGGCTATCATAATTCAATGTGGAGCAGACAGTTTGACTGGAGATAGATTAGGTAGATTTAATTTAACAATTAAAGGTCATGCAAAATGTGTTGAGCATGTAAGATCATATAATTTGCCTCTTTTAGTTTTGGGAGGAGGAGGATATACGATACGAAATGTAGCAAGATGTTGGACATATGAAACAGGAGTTGTCTTAAATAAACATCATGAAATGCCTGATCAAATAAGCTTAAATGACTATTATGATTATTATGCACCTGATTTTCAATTACATCTACAACCATCTAATATGCCAAATTATAATTCACCCGAGCATCTAAATAGAATTAAAATGAAAATAACAGAAAATTTAAGAAATATCGAGCATGCTCCAGGTGTTCAATTTTCTTATGTACCACCTGATTTTTTTGATTCAGAAATGGATGATGAAAGTGATAAAAATCAATATGAACTTGATGATGATAGTGGAGGAGGAAGAGCTGCTGGAACTAGAATAAAGGAACATTCATCATCTCATCATTTAAGAAGAAAAAATTATGAAGATGATTTTTTTGATCTTTCAGATAGAGATCAAAAAATGATTTTATAAGTGTTCCTTTTATACAAATTAAGATCAATTAATAAATAGAAAAATTATATGTTAAATAAATCATTACATTAATTATGTAAAATATAACAAAAAAAGCAAAAAACAAAAAAACTGTACATTTAATACTCCATTTAGCAGAAACAATTGTTGAGTATTGCTTATATATAATAAATATTTTCACGATGTTAATAGTTGCACATTATAAAGAATGATATTATTTTAAAGAGTAAAATTAAAATGTTAGATTGAAAAAAAGAAAATAAAACAATAGACAGTATATATTGATATAAATATAAATAACATCTATAAATTATATCGCATTATTTAAAAGAGTCATTTATATATGTATTTAATACATTTTTATTCTGAAAAAAAAAAAAAAAAAAAAAAAAAAAAATACATATATATATATATATATATATAAAGCATGAAATGTATACTTCAAAATAACACTTTTTTTAAGAAATGATTAGTAATTTATGTATTTTTAATTAGTGAAATGTGCACTTGGAAAGTAGGAAAAGGGAAGAAAAAATATATATATATATATATACATATGTATGTTTATATTTAATTATTTTGGGAAATCGAAAATAATAATTTCTCTAAACAGAGTTACTATTTTTTCATGTTTAATAAATAGAACATAATTCATATTAAAAAAGAATAAATATCATTTCATAAATTTTTTTTTAAGACTTATAAAATAAAAACAATATATTTTTATTTGTTTAAACATTTTTTTGTCATAATTGTTTCATTTTAAATTATAAATATTTTTTTAAATTCTATTTTCACCTTTTTAATGTTATTTATTTTATTTTTTTTATATTATTTTAAATATTCTACATCACAAACCTGTATAATTTTTAATATATATTATATATAATATTTTGATACTTCTTTGAGTAACATAGTAGTATTTAATTTTCGAGTTAATAAATAATATGTCATTATTACTATATCATATTTTTTAGTTATTTTTTAATAGCTTCTCATTTTCCTAATTAATAAAAAAAGAAAAATATTTAACTGATGCCAGTTTAATGTTTTGGTGATTACTCTAATTTTTCAATATTGTAGTTAACATGTAAAATTCAAGTTTTTATTACTATAATAATTAAATAAAATTATATGTAAAAATATTTTATCCTTTCATGTTATTTTAATGTATACTACATATGTAAAAATAATAAATTTCTTATAAATCAAAGTAATATATATATTTTTTTTTTATATAACTAAACGTATAATTTAAAAAAAATTTGCAACAAAAAAAAAAAAAAAAAAAAAATCTTACGATAAAAAAGCAGAAATCAAACATATAAAAAAAAAAAAATTATTTCTTAACCTATTATATAGAATACATCAAGACAAATGATTATAAATATTAGATTATAAAAAATACATAATTTTTTTTTTTATAATCATTTTTAATGAAACAAAATGAATTAAATAAATAATATTTTATAAAAAAAGAAAGATAATTTTCCCTATATATGTATTTATATTTTTAACTTTTCAAAAATCACAATCAGATGATTTAAGTTCAAATTCGTGCTCTTTTCCATATTCATCAATAACTAAAAAAGAAAGTAATGCTTTTTCTAAAATATATTTCCCTTTTTTATATTTTTGTGATTCTTCAGAGGAATCCTCATATTTCCATCCAACATTATTTCTGCAATTATTGCAATAAATATCAACGATTGTATGCTGACCTGTTGTCATCATTCTGTCTTCGTATTGTCCTTCACACACATTTATAACTTTGGAAAATAGCCAAGCAGGTCCTGTTCTACCTCTAAAGGATGTAGAAACTAATTCAGTAGGGTCAGACAAATGATTACCACATTCTAAACAGCTAAAAAAAAAAAAAAAAAAAAGAAAAAATGAGAAATATGAGTAACATATAATGTAATTAACATATGTGGTGAATTTTTTTTCATTAATAATTTATAGTTATATCTTAAAAGTGTTTTTAATATAAAATTAACAATACATACACATCTACATATATTCAAAATAAATGTATATTATTCATAAATAAAATAAAAAAAAAATTCTTTTAGCTATACCTGTAAACGTAATTATTAAGAAAAACCTTAAATGACTTACCCATAAATTAAAATAAAAAAATTGAAAATTAAAAAAAAAGAGAAATTTATATAATTATTATTATATAGCATATGCTATTATTTATTTAAATTATTTATTTTTTTTTTTTTTTTTTTTTTTTTTTTTAAAAAAAAAAAAT